TCTTGAACAAACAATACAATCAGTCATTGTTTCATGTTCTTGATGATCATTTTTAGCTTGATGAAATTCAATTTTAGGTAATTCAATTAATGTTTGTGCTGGATCATCACCAACTAATATATATTCTGATTTAACTGAATCAAAACATTTTTTACAAAATGTATATTTATCACCCGATAAATTATTTCTTGATGAATCCGGATTATTATAAACAAAATAATCAGCATCACGTGGTATTGTACAACACATACCTGTTACACCATAACAAAACATAGCTGATGGTAAAAAAACATATTGACGTCCACAACAATAACCATAATCTTTCATAATAGGATCAACTAATTCCATAAACATTTCTGAAAGCTATTTAAAACAAAAATAAAACAATAATTTAAATATATATAAAAAAAAAAATTTACTTTTGAACCAGCTTTATAAACTTTTTGTGTTTTTTTATTAAATGTCCATGCATTATTAAAAACAAGCCAAACATCTTCACAAAATTCATATGGTGTTTCATATTGATTTTCATCTAATTTTTTAAATATAGTTGAAAAATCCATTGGATATTTAATTATATCAAAATAACCAGGTGCTATATTTTCTGTAACTGGTTGACGAAACCAACCACCTTCTTCTTGATTAAATAAATGACGAAGTATAGGTGTCATTTTTTCTCGTAAATCATCCGATGAAAATCTTGCTGGATATTTTGTTAATGATTTACTTGTTGAATCAATAGGTGGTGGTCGATTTATTTTATTTGATTCAATATCAATTTTTTCTGTTTTAATTAATTCAACTGTTGTCGTTGTTACATTATTTCCATTTATTGTTGTTTCACTTGTTTCTTCTTTTTTTATAATTGTCATTGTCTACAAAATAATATTTAAGATATACTATAGACTCAAATTTTTGATAGGGGGGGGGATGAAATATTCTCTATTAAATGCTAATTTTTATTTTCTAATAATTCTGATTATTAGGAACTTCTAATACATATCGTCAGATTTTAATCAAATATAAATGTTTTGATATACATATAGAAAAATTTTGTTTTGTATTTTTTACTATAAAATGATGTTCACTCATATTGTATCTTGATGATATTTTTGAAAGAAAAAACACTTCTAATGTTTGCGATTATCGAAATTTTGATTGAATGAATTCGATAATATTGTCCGTGGTTTTTTTTTTTTTAATAACTAATACTAACCGCAATCCTAGGTAGAATAGTGACCTCATACATACACTAACTAATCATAAAAGTAGGTGTATGTCACAATTTAACCAATATAATACACGTTAAATAGGTGTCGAATAATGTAGTTATTCAACCATAATAATCTTAAATTTAGATACAGGATTTAGGTAAGAATGTAAGAGTAATTTATCTACTTTCTAGAAACACATAAAACTAATCTATAGATATATATAGAGATTTATCGAATTTTTATGTATATATATGTAGTAAAAAATATTATTTATTTACTTGAATTTTTGTATCATGATTTGGTGATATTTGTTCTGTTTTAATATGTTTTATATCTATTTGAGTTCCATTTGTATCAATATGTGAATTTGTATTTGAATTATTATTATTATGAATATTTATTCGATTAAGACTTTCTGTTGATGTACGATGTGTATCAAATGATACTGATTGTATTGGATTAGGTGTTTGATTTTCAGTTTTAATTTGTGTTGTTGTTGTTGAAGATGATGATGATGATGATAAATATGTTGATGAATAATCTGATTGTGGTGCAATACGATTTGGTGGACCTTGTTCACCAGCTGATTTATCAATTGATGTTAATATTTGTTGTTTTTTTGATATTTGTTTTTCTTCATAATCTTTTTGTATTTTATAAATACGTTCAGCTAAACGATGAAAATAATCTTCATGACTTATAGCTGTATTAAATGTTTCAGCTTCTGTTTGTTGTGCATATGATGTTACTGCAGTTAAACGATCGGGTGGTAATGATCGACCATCTTGTTGAACTGTATTTAATAATGCTGCAACTATTTTTTTAACTAAATGATTTCGATGATCAGGTTGTAATTGTTGTTGCCATTCTTTTGCTATATATAAAAAAAAAAAACAAATTTATTTTATAAAAAAAAAAAAAAAAATAAGAATAAATTTACGTATAGAATTTTGTGGTCGAAGTGCTGATGGTTTTTTTAATGAACCACATATAGAACAATTTGGTGTAGCACAATTTTTCCAATGTAAAATAATATGACGAGATTGAACACAATGATTAACTTAAATATTAATAATTATTCTTATATTAAATAAATTTTTTTTTTCTTTTTCATAACTTACAAGAACAATTTTTAAAATCAGCACATTTAGTCATATGTTGAAGTACAGTCCTCATTGTAGAACAATGTGGTAATGTACAAGGATTTAAAGATGTTGTTGTTGGTTGTGTTATATTATGATTATCTCCATTACATGATTGTGCTTGTCGTTCACGTTGAAGACATTTATGTGCATGAAGTAAAAGTGCAAGTTGTTGAATAATATTTCTTCGTTGATCATTTTGTTGTATTGATGTTATATTAGATGATGTTGCAATTGTTGATGTATCCATTTCTGAATTAATAGATGCTGGTGTTTGTGGTATAAATGTACGATTTGTTAAATAATTATTTGATGTTGATATTGGAGTAGAAGGATAAATAGAAGATATAATCGATCCTTGATCGGTACCATCCGACTAAACAAAAAAAAAAGGATTTTTATTTTTTGAAAAAAAAAAAAGAAGTCATACTCGATTTGATAATGGAGTATTTATATTATTTGTATTCATATCTGCATTGTTGATGAAATAATATATTAAACTAAAAAAGTAATAATTGAAATTCTTGTAATAACAAAAAAAAAAACAAACAACAACAACAAGAGGAAAAAAAAAACAATTTGACCGATGGTCGTTCACTATCTACCTATCAATCAATCAATTCTTTTGCTCTATTTGACTGACTTAGTTGCTTGTGATCCAATTGGTGAAAAGAGAAATCGAGAGAGAGAGTGAGAGAGAGAGAGAGAAATAGAAAAACAAATACTGACAGAAAGATGGCGCTGTTAAATTTAATAAATAGAACTTTTTTTTTTTGTCTTCTTATTTGTTGATCTATTTCTAATAGATTTTTTTTCTGATCATTAAAATAAATAAACAATATTAGAAAAGAAAAAACTTAGGAAAATATTTTGTTTATTGTTTTCTTTTCTTTTTGATTTGTTCAATTCAATGGCAACTGCTAAGTCCGAAAATTATGTGATCGATGAAGTGATTGTAGAAGATTCAGTATGATGCAATCTATAGATGAAAAAAAAAAACGTTGTTTTTTTTAAAATATCATATGATTTTTATTTAGCTTGTTGGAATTTATAAAGCTCGGTATCTTCCAACAAATGAAGAAGTGGCTATTAAAAAAGTATTTCGTTTTTTTTTTCTTCAAATGGGAAATTTGTATTCGATATAGATTTTTTATAGATTAAAGTTGGCCGTCATGGAGAATATACAGATTGGGCTGAACCAGCAGCTGAAAATGAAATGCAAATGTTACGAAAATTACATCATCCTAATGTTATTAAGGTAAAATTTAGTTTAGAAAATATATAAAAAAAAAAGAAAGAAATTTACTAACTAATAATTTATTTCTAGTTACTTGATTCATTTTATACACCTGATTCAAAAGTAGCTGTTTTAGTTTTTGAATTAATGCATGCTGATCTTGGTGTAAGTTGATATTTTCTAAAATTTATTTATTAAAACTAATTTCGCTATCTTTGTTTTTTTGTTTCAGCGTTTAATTCATTGTACAGACAATCGTTATTCTCATAGTCATATAAAATGTATGGTTCATATGATGCTTTCAGGTCTTGAATATATTCATTCATCTGGTATCATGCATCAAGTATGATAATTATTCTAAATTTTTCTTTTTCTTTTTTTTGCTATATTCATTTTTATAAAAATTTCAAGGATATTAAACCAGGAAATATAATGATTAATTCTCATGGTATAATAAAAATAGCTGATTTTGGTATATCAATATATGTTAATGATGAATGTCGAAAACTTCATCGTTTACCACCGGCTTGGTATCGTTCACCAGAATTTTTACTTGGTGATCGACAATATGATACATCAACAGATATATGGTCATTAGGTATTGTTATTGGTGAATTAATTAATCGACATATTGTATTTCCAAGTAAAAGTGAAATTGAACAAATTTTAATGATTTATCGTTTACTTGGTCCACCAAATGATAAAACATGGCTAGAAGCTAAAACATTTAAACATTTTTTACAATTTCATGATGAAAGTTTATTAAATCATGAAGAAACTTTTGAAAAAAAATTTCCTAAAGCAAATGAACAAGAATTAATCCTATTAAAAAGTTTACTTGTTATGAATCCAAAATATCGTGTTACAGCTAAACAAGTAAAAAGAAACAAAATAAATCATTAAAAAAAATTTTGTTGTTTTTTTTTTCTTTTGTAGGCTTTAGAATCTTCTTATTTTACAAGTGATCCTTTACCATGCAAACCTGAAAATATTCCACGTTTAGCTGCACCACGACATCGTCATAGTCGAGATCCATTTCATATGAATGATTTAAATGCAAATGATGAAAATCTTCCAAGTGATTATAGTCATTTAAATAGTAAGAAAATCTTTATTGTTTTTTTTTTTTTTTTTTATTTATTATTTTTTTAGATTTTATTTTAGATGAAACAAAACGACAACTTTTTTCACCATAGATCATCTTTGTCAGATAGTCACTTCTCATTTTTTTTTTAATACACAGATTTTTTTTTTTCTTTATTAATGATGTCAGATTGATTCAAATAAAAAAAAAAAATAGAAATAGAAAATATATGACTTATGATATTCTTGCATCAGCTTATTTTTCTTATAAAGACGATTCCCTTTTTTTTCTTTTGTAGAATTAGGTTTCGTTGTTTGAATAATATGGCGTTTGTATTAAATCGAACATTAGGTCCGATTGTATCTGTAAGTATTGAGAATTAGTTTGTTTTTTTAATTTTTATTGATGTTTTATAATTAGCGACGACTTTTACAACGTGTTATAACAAGTACAGCAAATGAACAACAATATCGTTTTCGTTCTCGTACACCATTTAATACAGTTGTTCTATTTGTACCACAACAAGAAGCATGGGTTGTTGAACGTATGGGAAAATTTTATAAAACATTAAATCCTGTAAATTTTTAAATAAAATATTTACCCTAAAATTCGAATAATTTTTTTTTCTAGGGTTTGAATTTTTTACTTCCAATTCTTGATAATATACGTTATGTGCAAAGTTTAAAAGAAATTGCAATAGAAATTCCAAGTCAAGCAGCTATTTCAAAAGGTAAGATAAAAATAAAAAAATTCATGACATGAAAAACAATGAACGAAAGGTAACTAATTAACATAAAGTACATATTAGTGATATATAAAAAGTTCAAAATGAGATATTTTGATCTGCAAATTCTGACAAATGTTGCAAGCTATGAATAGATTTTTTTTTTGAAAATTTTATATTTCGTTTATGTGATAAAGAATTCTCTTTAAAATAATTGTAATATTTCTTTCTAGACAATGTAACATTAAATATTGATGGTGTATTATATCTCAAAGTATTTGATCCTTATTTAGTAAATAATCGATATGAAAAAAAAAAATAATTTGATAGAAATATTAATTTTAATACTTTCTATTAGGCTAGTTATGGTGTTGAAGATGCTGAATTTGCTGTAACACAACTTGCACAAACAACAATGCGTTCTGAAATTGGTAAAATTACATTAGATACATTATTTCGTGAGAGAGAATTACTTAATGCTGGTATTGTTGGTATGTTAATTAATTATTATTTCATATTTTCTATATGATTAATTTGTTTCTTTTTTTTTCTTTCTTATAAAGAGGCTATCAATAAAGCAGCTAAAGCATGGGGTATTATTTGTCTAAGGTTATTTGAAATATTTAAATTTAATAATTGTATTTGACTAGTTTAAATTTAATAGATATGAAATTCGTGATATTCGTCTTCCTGCAAAAGTTCAAGAAGCAATGCAAATGCAAGTTGAAGCTGAAGTAAATAAATAGAAAAAAAAAAATCTTTCTTTTTTTTTCTAACTATGTTTTATCTTTAGAGACGTAAACGAGCAACAATTTTAGAAAGTGAAGGTATTCGTGAAGCTCAAATAAATAAAGCTGAAGGTACAAAACAAGCAACTATCTTATCTAGTGAAGGTTTTAAACTTGAACAAATTAATAATGCAAATGGTGAAGCTGAAGCTATACGTGCAAGAGCTAGTGCACGTGCACAAGCACTTCAAACAATTTCTGATAAACTTCAATCTGAAGTATAAAATTTATTTTTATTTAAAATAAATTCCATCAAATATTTTTCCTTTTAAGGAAGGACGTAATGCTGCTTCATTACAAATTGCTGAACAATATGTTCATGCATTTGCTAATCTTGCTCGAACGAATAATACAATTATTTTACCAAGTAATGCTGGTGATATGTCATCAATGGTAGCATCAGCATTAGCTATTTATAATAATCTTCAAACAAAAGATCGACAAGGTTTTCTTTCACATTCAACATCAACTAATTCATCGACACCTGTGACTAAATTATCTTCTACTCCAATAGATTCAAAACTATCTTCTATTCCAATTGATTCAAAATCATCTACTGATATATCATCTGTACGGCATATTAAAAAATCAATTACTGAAAAAGACACACATTAGATTATTTGTTATAGATTTCTTTTTCAAATAAAACAAGAATTAAATATGTTTTGAAAATATTCAAAATTTTTATTCTAACAAAAAAAAAAAATAAAAATCATCTTTTAGAAAAGAATGTTTATTGTTGCAACATTGGACGATACAGTTTCTATTGTACCACATTTATTCAATGAACAATTGAGTACGATTGTAGCTGAAGAACTTGATCGTAAATTAGCCAATACAATATTTCAAGAATTAGGTTTATGTATATGTTTGTATGATATATTATCGATGGGTGATTGTATTCTATTGCCATCAGATTCAAATTTTCATATTAAAGTTAAATTTCGTTATGTTGTTTTTCGTCCAAATATTGATGAAATTCTTGTTGGTAAGAAAAAAAATGAGAAATAACTCTAACAATTTTTATCTATTAAAATTTCAATAATAATTAAAAGAAATTTTTCCAAGTTGAAAATCGTTTTTGTATCTATTTCAAAATAGAAGATCAGTGAGTATTTTTCTAATAACTTTCGATAGAAAGCAGATACAGACCTACAGCTTTTACTATTGGAAAGAGAAGATGAAGACACATCGAATCATATATTACAGACTTTTTTTTGGCAAGTTTTATTGAGTGATTTTTAATCGAAGTTTTGGCAAACCAATGTATCGTGCTGAGTACCTAAACTGAATTTTCGACTTTTAGAAGTGCATCATAACCGCCAATCGAAGATCTACAAAATTGTACAAAGCCGAGATTTTTAACTTGTAACGTTTGGAAGTTAAAGGCATTTTACTGTGCGCTTCTACTTGTTCGCTAATATTTTCATGAAAATTGACTATACCAATCGAGCCCAAACGCGCACATCTTTTTTGAAAAAATTCAATCAATACACTTGATAGTAAAATTTGTAATATATGATTTCATCTCCTCTTTTCAACAGTGAAAAACCACAGATCTCTATCTGATTTCTATCAGAAGTTATTCAAAAAATACCCACCACTGGTATATTTTGAAATGTATAATAGAATGTTACCTGCATGTGATATCAATATTGCAAAAAAAAAACATCTTTGGTAAAATATAAGTGATTTTTAGAATTTCAATAATGGGTAAAATCTCAGTAAAATGGTTATAGTTCTGTAGGAAAGACCTAGTTGCCTTCATTCATTTGTAAGTTTTACTACCTTTTTGGAGTCTACATTACGCATAGAATTTGAACTCGAAAGTAATTTTCATGTTAGGAAAGTTTTCATAATAACTTCTTGATTTCCTTCCTCCTCCTCATGCTTCAACTCAATTATAAAATAGTTCTATTTTATCTATTTTTTCAAAGGTAAAATTCGATCATCAAGTAAAGATGGTATTACAGTAACATTAGGTAATATGAAATGAACTATTTAATTTTTTCTTGAAGAAAAAAAAACAAAGTAAAATTCTTTAAATAGGTTTTTTTGATGATATTCTTATTCCATCGACTAAACTTCAACATCCATCTCGATTTATTGAAGCTGAACAAACATGGGCATGGCAATATGAAACTGATGATGAAACACATGATCTTGTTATGGATATTGGTGAAGAAATTCGGTAAATAAAATATATCTTATATTTTAAATTTTATTCTTATTATTTTCTTTTTTTAAATTAGTTTTCGTGTTGTACAAGAAATTTTTGAAGATACAGCACCAAAAGAAATGCCAAATAATAATACATCAATAACACAAACTACAAATGATGATGATAAAAAAGTACCTTATACAATAATTGGTTCAATATCAGAACCAGGTTTAGGACTAAAATCATGGTGGATTGAAACATCATAATAATAAAAAAAACTACGTAATAGACATGTTTTCGTTTTTTCGATTGTGATTGTACCCAAGTGGGCGTCAATTGTTGTCATTAAATAAATATTTGACTTTTCTTTCTCTCTCTCTCTTTCATAACTCTATCGTTGAACAAAGCTCTTATTGTTTGTTTAATACGAAAATGTTAACAATTACTCGTACATAAATTTATCGGTATGTTTCGTTAATGCTACAACTATCGATCGTAAAAAAAACGAAAGAAGAAGTAGGAACAACAACAACAACAAGAAAAACGCAAAAAAAGAAAAATTTTTATAGTTTGTGCGTGTGTGATCTCTTTTATTCTTTCTCGATTATTTGAATATTTGATACCAACGTGTCTATTATAATCTTTTTATTGGCCGAGAAGGTGATAATAATATTGTGAAAACATTAAATGTCGTTTTTTCTTACAATCATTTGATAATTTTTATGAGACGATAGATGAAATACATTTATATAATGATTTTTTTCTATATATTGATGGTTATCATGATTTTAAATATAGATGCATGTGATGTAATGGGTTCACGTGCATGTGGTCGAAAACCTGAAAAAGAAGATCGAGAAACAGATCCAATTAAATATTGTATTGCATCACGAGTTTATTTTGAATGTGTTCATAAAAAATATCGTGGTTGTGAAAATAAAGAAAAATATGAAACAGCTATGGAATCAATTATGAAAGGTAAGATTTAATTTTTTTTTTTTTTTGTTTCTTCTAATATTCGAAAGTTTTTATTAGAACTTTTTATATTATTTATTTAATATGTAAATATTTCTGCAGAAAAATATTGAATTAAAAACTAAACTTAAAAGATGACAATCAGTCGAGATGAGTTTCTCAATACAAAACTGATAATCATCGATAACTCGATTTAATTAGCAAATGTCCTAAACTTATTTCTATATAAATCTTTAGAAGATTGTTCATATCTTCATTGATTCAGTAAATATTGTTATTGTTATAGTCCCATATATTGAATATTCAAGAACGTATTCTCGTTCTCAGAATGTATTAGAAATATATGTATCGCTTTCAATCTACATTACAAATGATTATTAATAACTAATTTATTCATTAAGAATTTTTTTTTCTGATAGTTCTATTCATAAAGTTGTTTTTAATGATATGCAAGATCATTGCACTAACAAAAATTGTTCAATATTTTGAAAAAAGAAAAAACTGAGTGTCATTCTACTATTCAATTTCAAAATATAATATGTTTCACTATTGTTTTAATAATTTTTGATAGAAATCTGTAGTTTTTACTATTCAAGAGAGAAAATCCATTTTATTAATTCTCGTCAGACTAATTATATATTACGACAGTCAACAGAATAGAATAACACTATAACGAAAAAAACAAACAAATTATACCTTACCTTTTTATCTATTTTAGGCATTCGAAAACGTGTCGATGATCTATTAGGTTTTTGTAGTGATAAAATTGAAGATTATAAATTTAATATTGTTTGGGATACACAAAAACAACCAGAAGCAGCTGATTCAGTTCGTAGTGGTAGTGGTTCACATACATCAAGTGTATCATCTAAAAATGTTATTTTTGGTTCATCACCTATACAATCAGTTATATCAAATGATATATGTCAAGTAAAAGCAATAAATGAATTATGTCAACCATTAATGATTACAGTTAAATTTAATCCATCATGGAATACAATTAATAAACGTGGTTGGTGTCAACAAGCAACAACATATTTTCGTTGTTTAAAATCTCGTCTTGATAAATGTTCACAACAAGATGTACAAAATCAATTTCAACAACTTGAACATTATCTTCAATCACAAATAAATATTAATTGTCCAGGTGGTATTGATGGTTGTACACGTCATTCACCTGATGCACGTTGTAAAATAGGTTTAATTCAATCAAGTTCTAGTTCATCTATATTTTATCTTTCTTATTTTCTTATTCAAACGGTATTACAAATACTACTACTCACATATTATTATTTTAAATAAAAAGAATCGATTTATGATATTAGATTTATCATGTTAAAAAAGAAAAATGAAATTGATAAAGAAAATTGATAGTAAAAGTTATTTATAATTTTAAATAGTTGTACAATAACGTTTGTAGTTAAATATAATTTTAGAAAAGTTTCTGATTTCTCCTGGAATTAGTCCTATGAGATTTGTTTGTGTTGTATCTAAGTCAGTTAATTTCCATCAGTCGTTTTTTTTTCATAGAAAATTCGCATCTCGCCCGTGAGAAATAAGTCAAAAAAAAAATGAGTTTTACCAAAACGCAGGTTATATTCATCTATGATTTTGAGTTCTACAATCATTTTATAACTTTAAATTTGATTCATCCGTGAAAAGCATTCGAGGAGATTTTCACGAATTATCGATTATCTCTAGTCAATTAAATAATATTTGACTGAACTAAATTCAATAAATGAAACAAGACATCTTTATTAAATATAAGTTCATCAAATCTTGCTGGAATACTAATGATTTTTATTTACAAGTTTCGAAAAAAAAAAAGAAAAAATTGTTTGTATATCATTCATTGTTGATTTCAGGAACATTATAAGCATCAAAATTACTTAATGGTATAATATAATGAATTAGTGGTCGTTTATAAATTTCCAAAAATGGATGAGCTTCTAATTTATTTTTCTATAAAACGAAAAAAGAAAAAGAAAAATATTTAATTATTTTATTTAATAAAATTTACTTGAATATAATCTCCTAAACGATAAGGTACTCTCATAATTGCAATAAAAATCGATAAAAGATTCTTAAATGGAAATGTTGTATAAATTGATTGAACAGGTTGTGGAAGTTTAAAAATTTTATAATTATTTTTTTGCATTTGTTTTATTAATTCTCGATCTTTTACTTCATCAACAATAGCACCAACAACAAATCGTCGTTTTTCAACTGGTGTCTAATTTTTAAAAAAATAAGACAAAAACAAAATACATATTCATCTTATATATATATATTTAATTCAATACTTTAGGACAATCATAATAAATACCAAGTTTATCTTGAGATGATGAATATTTATCAATATCTTTAAATATTTCAGATGATTTAGAATAATTACCACGTTGAAATTTATATACTATAGTCAATGTATTAAATGGTGGTTGTGTAATTTTTATTGAAATTGATTTAAATAAACCTAATGTTTTTAAAAACCAAATAGTAGCTAAACAAATTATAACGATAATGATAATAACAATTGAAATCAACATTCTAGAATCACAAAAATAAAAAGAAACTCTAATAAAATATTCATAATATTTTGATATGAAAACACACTATTGGTTCTGAATTAGTTTGTATTTTCATTTTTTAGTTCTCTACACTATTCGATATTATCTTAAACAAGAAAGAATATTAGACAGAGGTCAGTTATGTATGCATAATAACAATTGTTGTATATTTTTTATTTTGAACGATTTCATATAATTGGAAAGATTTACTTTTTTTTGTTTTTAACATAATTCTGTATTTCATAATATTTGAGAACATCTCTATCCGACTTGTTGAAGATCTTAATTAAAAGAATGATTAAACTTGATGAGAATACTTTGAAAGTAATTCAATGTGAAATGAAGTTTTGTTTAAAATATCTTCTCTGAAATCGATAAACATTTCTAATTTTAACTAATGAATGATATTAATATAAAATATAAATTTTAGAATATATCTAACATTTTATATGTTATTTGATTTGATAACAAAAAATTTAGTTTGATATCAGATGTAGATGAAATAATGTCATG